ATATACTATATATACTATACTATATTATATACTATATACTATACTATATTATATTATATATACTATTATATAACATTTAAAGACATATATTTAATATTTTTTATAGAAGAATTTTTTTTATAGAAGATATTTTTTATAGAAGATATTTTATGAAATTTATTATATTTTTAAATGTAAAAAATCCTATATGTTCTTTCCTTTTAATAACATGTTCATCAAAATCAAAATATCATAAATATATTGCAAATAGAATAACATGTAAATATCTGTAAAAGCAATTGATTTGCAAACAACAGATTTTAGTTTATAAATCTTAACTTCTTACTTCAGTTTATAACGATTGATTTGAAAAGTTAGAAGTTGAAAGTAAGAGTATAAAATAGTAAGAGTAAAAACTGTAATCTGTTTTGAGAAGTGATAAATTAATAATTATAAGCCATAAAAAAAGAATAAATTATGCTAATTGTGCTATAATACATAAATTTTTATAGCAAACATGTTTAAAATAAAAAATGATCTAAAAAGAATATTCTATATCACAGGATATTCTATATATAAAAATTAATAAAAAATCAATGTATATTGATTCTAACCTCAACTTCTTCTATAAGCGCTACTTCGGGTGCTTCGGCTTCTGCTTTCCGTGCTTGTTTTTCTTCCAATTCGTGTGCTAAAGCCGAACGCTGATGTTTCATCGTACATGTATGTTTCAGCAGTGACAAACGATGTGCGTGAAGATTTTTCTTGCAATATAAACAATAAGCACGAGTTGGTTGACAGGGCACTGAAGTCAACCATCCTAAATAAAAGTATTTTAAAATCATGAAATGCTTCTATTCTTTGATTAAGTAAATCTCATATCAAATATTATCTACTATCTAGGAATTATAGATTTAGAATTTTTAAAATTTTAAACTAAAAGTTAAAATTCAATCAGAAACATTTTTATATCAAAATTGTTTCTGCAAAATGTAAAAGCTTATCCTATATAATTTATAAATTTATAGTCTTAAATTAAACTTATTTATATATAACTATAAATAAAATTGATAACCTTTCAAATAAGAATAATTTTAACATTGAGATAATTTTAAATAATTTCATCAAATTATTTATCAATTATCTATCATGAATCTCCGTATCAAATAATGCATTGGAGATTAAGGATCACATAAAAGTGACATAAAAATAAAATTTATATCTTCTTATATTAACTGTAATATTAAATTAGTAGAAATAAAAAGAAATTGATATTTTGTAATGTTATTTCATTTTGAGACAATTAGACACCCTCATATAAAAGTTTGTCTATTTCCAATATCGCTGAAATATTTATTATTTCTATAACAGGTTTAAATAGAACAAAATATCACATCCAGAAATTTAAAATTTTTTATAATTTCCCGATGCTTATTCTGACTCATCAAAGCTCAAAGATTAATATCCGAGATCCTTCCCAAAATTGTTTTTTTATTTACCAAACTATCAATATTGAAATCTGTTTTTTCTACCTTTAATATAATTCCTTAATAAAGTATTTTCGCTCAATCGTTGAAATTATAAAATAAAAAAGATATTGCATAGAAGAGCTGAATTAATTGATAAATATTTATCAATTATCAACTTGTTAAATTTTTGCAAGATCAATAAAAAATAAAAGTTGTTCACGTGTAAAAATTAATTCCTTCAAATTACCAATTTGATAGTTCAATACTGATATTCTTATCTTCTATTCTTAACTTGTGAAAAGAAATTAAAATTCCTGACGATAAATACTATCGAACCTCTATCGTACAGCATAGTGTAAATAAATCAAAACATTAGCTAATTCTCTGTAGTAATTGTAAATATTTAGCCTGGACCTCGAACAAATCATCTTTAAGATAGAAGATCTTCTATCACATTCCTATTCAACGATTCTCAACCCAAGTAACACGAGGCTCAAAATCGCGACATGAAACTCTGAAGTACCTTACGTCCCAATTTTGGACTTTGTGTTTCAAACACCAGGCTTGCGCTAGCGAAAACAAAATATTCATCTCCCACGCGTATGCCCCGCAGTCAACGAAACGGCTAGATAAGTTGAGAATCGGGGATTGATCGGGGACTAGGGTATGGAAAGTTAATCCGAGAGCGAGTTCAACCCTGGTAACGACGCGAGGGGACCCTATGTGGGGTCCCTCTCGTCGCGAGAGAAAGAGAGGGACGTACCTTTGAAATCAGACATCTGTTCCCATTCCTTCCTATAGCGTTGCGTATAAACTCGAGTCTTCGCGTGGCTAATCTTCCCGGTTGGAGTCAGCCGCGGGGGCGGCGTAGTCAGCAGGTTCGCGCATATCACCGTCTGGTCGGGACCGATGATTGCCACGGGTCGCGGCGACTTCTCCATGCCTCGGCACGTTTCTTTCTAACTCTCTAAATTACGCCGGGAATATTCAAGCCAAATCAAAGATCGAGGCGTAAAATTACTAAAATAGTTCTTTCTTTCCGCGACCGGTCACTTCGTGCGGATGGAAATCCGAAGAACGCGACAGGACGACGATCTCTAGGCCGTGCTTCTAGTATCGAACTCCCTAGCGAAATGGCGGACGCCGATGTTACTGTGCGCTGTGCGCCGATGTTACGAGCTGCCTTTCCGTTTAGCCTCAGCCTCGGTCATCAAAATGGCGGCGCGTCGCAAGGGCGTGCCTGTTGACGATGGCCCGGACCATCTCGCTCCGACACGGATGTCCTTCGAAACACGACAAAATAGATTATCTATTAAATTTCGAGGCACCGATCGACATTTCTGTGCGGTCGATCTCGAATCGTAAAACGTTACATATTGGATATATATAGTAAATATATATTACCGATTAATTAATCGATGCCGATTTATCTTGCCTCCACTTTCGCTTACTTCACTGACAAAATACATGATACGGTTTTTGTCGATATGCGCGCGCAACCGTTAGGAACGTTAGCCACTAAACGCGTGAAATTTGCAGGGAACATGAAATTTTCTAGTTTATAAAATTAGTGACGGAATATCTTCTACATTATTGTACCATTGCGTCCCCCGAAAATCACTTTCAAGAAATAATCTCCTAGGAAGTCATTCAAGGAAGTTATTCCGAGTGCTGCTATCGCCACCTAGAAGTATCTCGAAAGGATTTTAAAATTTCAACGGCTCTCTAGTCGACATTTTTTTTTCTAGAAAAAAATTCTAGTCACCAAATAAAAGTTTCAGCGTTTCCATTCGCAATGGATTTTAATCACTCCGAATGCAATTAATGACATGTACGCTCTTGTAAAAATCTAATATCGGAAGATAGTTACTTATTTTAAATATTATTAAGGGCATTATTGTTCAGCATTCAAATAACAATCTTTAGTACTAAATTGAATTTTTGTAAGGATGATCCGCTTTGAATTACTATAATAGAATTACAATGAAACTGATTATCATATCATCATTATATTTAATCGGTTAGTTGGGATTCTTGATAATTCAAAAAGATATATGTATGGGGAATATATATGTTTTAAAAAGTAACTATTTGAAGTTAACTCGTTTAATTGAATATATATATATAAATTCGAGATAAATGCTCTGTACTGCGAACTACGTGTCGTTAAATTACCGAACTTGCAACGCAACTCGCTCATCTGCATTTCCTCTCTTAATAAATCGATAAGCAATTTCTGAAAATCGATTACTCTCACCACCCCACTCAATGAAATTTTTATTATGAAAAATATCACCTCGTTATTATTCTAGTTATTTTAATGTACATACCTTTTTTCTCTTTAAAACAGAGCTGTCCAGAATTCAGTTTTGAATTTTGAATTGATACACGTTGGTGTTCACGTTTATTCTCTTTCTCATCAGTATATGTACTTTTACACGGTATATATTATTAACTGATTACATTACTCGTTACATTTGAAATTCACATTTTAAATATAATTGTTATTCTTTCCACCAGATAATAGAAAATAGCCAGATTCACCGGATATAACCAAATAGTTAATTACTATTTATTTATCAGGCGGATTACGTGTTAGTAGCCAGATTGACTGGACCTTCTTACAAAATATTATAAAATTTATTTATTGTTAGCAATTGAAATTGATTATTAATAGAAAAGCATATATCTTTTTAAGTATTTTTATCACTCTGAATTGCTTTTTCTTGCCAGTAGCGCTTGTAGATTACGAAAAAATGTTGCTTCCGGTCCACCAATACTAACAATAGGAAAATGAGTCAAACAAATTTATCATGAAATATATGCTTAAAAGGTATGTTTTAGAAATTTATTGAATAGTTTCTAAGATCAATAGTTTGAATGGAATGACATATGGAACTTGAAGAATGAGCTTGCCTGTGACAAATCGTAAAATATCAGTAAACTCTCACACTAAAGTAAACACATTAATACATACATAGATAGATACATTTATCATTGTTAAAGTAATTGTGCTTATGAAACTTTTAAAGTTGAGATTAACTAATGCTCGGAGACACATTTATTGCTAAACTCAAAAGAAGTCCGAAAGCAAAAACAGAGAAAGAAACGGCTGAACAACAATTTTTTCAAGAATTTGAAAATTTATTATATGATTTTAATGTAACAAATTAGATGCAAAAGTTTTATTAAAAATGTTTCTAAAGTTTTAATCATGTCGATTTTCTCAAAAACGATATTTTCAAAGTTAATGATAAAAATCTTGAAAACTTATTAATCTAGAGTAATTGCGTTTTCAAGTAAAAGAAAATTTTTTTTTTAAGATGTTAAAACTAATAAAAATTAAAAAATTTAGTAATACATTAAAATTTTTTAAAATTAAATATCTTCATAATTATAACATTTTACAATTATAATATTTTAAAATGATACTGTTTTATTATTTTTCAATACTTTTAACAATTAAATCAATATTTCACAAATATTCCACAGGACAAAAGTAAAAATGTAGAATTCTGTTAAATCTTTCTATTTAACTGGCACTTTCCTTATGGCTTTATCCTCTAGGTTCTCCTATTCATAAGGATGGGTCGAAAAAATATAAACGTCACGTAACACTCTTACCTTTTATATGTGTGGGAGACGCAGGTAGGATGTCAGAAATATGCGCTGCATGGTCCACTGTTGGGCTGGGATTTAAAACGGACTCAACAAATCACATCGCAGATAGTATCCGACCGGCAAGCCGAACGAACGTAGTGCTTACATATCTGAGAACAACGTTCCAGACGAAGTTAAATGAAAGTTCATTTTAATTTACTGACGCCACGCTATACATATTTTCTAAAAGTTACAGTTGAATTACGATAATCTCGGTACGTAACAATTGCACTTTAATAATTGGCACCGTGCATATTAAATTAATTATATTAATTCCGAAATCCATAGATTTGTTTATTACGTTTCTTCAAAAGAATTATACAAATAAGTGGCAAAAAGAATTCCAGTGTTCTTGTCATGGATCAATTTTGTTTAATAAAAGTTTAATAAAAGTTTTTACATATAACATGTGTTTTTTTCATATGTATATAGATAAAGAATTAATTTTAAATATATATTTTCGGAGTTAATATAATTTAAAATTTATATGTTTAATTACAACAATTATTATCGACAATTATTATTAGTAAATATAATGATAATTTTTAATATATATGTAAATAATATTAAAACAATGATTTTGAATACTTTAAATATGTAATTTATAGTAAATTTATAATTTTAAATATTTTGAAGATATATATGCATTTCAATGACTAAAGATAACATTGATTAACAAAAAAAATTTTGATATGCAACTCTAATCAAAATAAATGTTTCTTACAGTTTTTATCACGCTGAATCCATAAATGAAACATGTCACGTCGGATTTTTTAAAAAGATGAAATTAAAATTCTCTCAAAAATACGTTTTTTAAGAATTTTAATCGCATTTTTCTTAAAAATCTGATGTGATAGATTATTTATTTCCATTTATGGATTCGAATTTGATCCATAAAATTCTTATAAATTTTATTTTATCGATAGATATAGAGATACGTTTTCACAATGAATTTGAATAACTGAATAGTATTTCTTGTTTGATTCATCAAATAGAAAGTCTATGCAATCTTCATTATTTATTTCTGTAAAATATAACTGCATATCTGCTATTATTCTTCTTATAAATGTCTATATAAAGAAAACAAAATTTAAAAGGATAGCAAAATAACTTTAACTGCAAATAATTCAAGGAATATCGAGATATTTAATAAATCACACATATTCAAAAAACAATTTTTTAAATACACATGTAAAAAATTTTATTTTTATCTGTAATTCATTTATATTGGCATTATATTATTGATTGCACTTGATAGTACATGTCATCAAGTGTGGAACCACAATGTGAGATCTAGACATGATTAGATTTCCTATATAATTTATTACATCTATTGTACAATTATATTATACTCTTAATCAAAGATCTAAATTACGTAATTTTTAATTATTATAATATCCTAATTTTTATGCTTTTTTAATAAATAATATTTTATTCATTATTTGCAGAAATAATCATTCGGCATAACAAATTTTCAACGTAATCCGATTTCGATAGAATTAAAAAGTATTAACACAGCATCAGCCATGAAACCAATCCTGTACAAAGTCGAAACCTACATCATGCCCGACGCGGAAAACTTAATTAAAGAGATCAATGATATCAACGTCGCAAATCGTCGATTAAATATCCAGAGCGAAAACATATCCGAGAAAAATATACCAAACAAAAAAAATGCGTCGCTTATTTCGCATGATAAATGCAAGGAACTCGTAAAGTTTTCTGCTGAGAATAGCAAATTGATTGATATAAAAATTATGAAAGATATAACGAACGAAAATGCAACTGAATGCGTCAATGAATGCCTTGATAAAAATATTAAACATAATAATGATAAGAATTCTTGTCATTCTGATGAACTTCTATGTGCACAGAAAATGGAATTTCAAACGTCGATTAAACCTCAGGATGTATATCCTGCACAATTCAAACACGTTAACTTGATGTCAATCGATGAGAGAAGCGAAAATTCTTTGGATAACAAGCTGAATGACTTCTGTTGTCACGGTTACAAAAATGGTTGCACTGCATCGATTCCATCGCCCGAAGAGATCAGCGAGGAAATCTTTAAGGAGAACTGGCTGCAAAAGATTGAGATGCTGAGACATCACGAAGCATGTTTACGGGAGAGAGAATTGAATCTACAAATTAGAGAAAGCGAATTATTCAAAAGAGAGAAGAAACTCAGGATTATAGAGAAGAATCTCAAAAATAAAATGAGACAGCAGATAAAACATCAAAAAGATGTGCTAGTCGTGGAAAAGAGGCTGCAGGAAGCTGCAAAAATTTTATCCTGTGAAGATTTCAATGAGTTTGCACAAGAAGAAATCGCAGAGGAAGAAAATATCCCAAAGGAAGAAGAAATTTCCGAAAAAGCAGAAATTTCCAAACAAATGGAGCTTTTAAAAAAAGTAGAGATTCCGAATAAAATAGAGATTGAAAAAGGAACAGAGATTTCGAAAATAGTAGAGATATCAAAAGAAACAGAAATTTCGAAAAATGTAGAGATTCCGAAAAAATAGAGATTCCAAAAGAAACAAAGATTTCAGAAAATCTGCAATCTATCATTAATCCACAAGAAAGAAATGAAGAATCTAGTAAAAAAATATCTCTATTGCACTCAAAGAACAATTCATTGTCAAGAAAATCCTCCTATTCAAAAACACTGACTCATTCATACGCTTCCATAAAGTATAAAGGGCGACCTAAGATAGAGTACAATGATCTAAACTCAACATTGTCAGCTGCTAGCGGAGAGTCATCCTTTGTGCGGACGTCGGAGCTGTTTAATCCAACGATTTACAAAAAACCGTCTGCGTTCATGCGATCAGCAAGCGAGCGACGAATCAGAAATAAGGATATTATAGAAAAAATGCAAACAGTTGAATCTGAATATATGATCGAGGAAGATAAAATCTTCCGGAAAGTCAGCGATAATATATGTGCTTTGCAGGAAAAGGAAGCAAAGTTCCAGGATTATGGACTCGTAGATTGTAAGCCAGATAATGTTCCAGGTAAAATAAAACGTAACGTTGATAACGAAGGGAAATTATCCTCATATCTCGATTTGGAAATCGGCGAAAAGCAAAATCGCCCAAATCTAGCTGAAACATTCAAGAACAGACCAGTCTCCTGGAACGAAGAGTCAAACGAATGGCTGCAAAAGAAGCGCGAAGCGTATAATTCAATGATCAAACAATCAGCCGGAAACAAGGAGAACGTCAAGTGCAATACTGTCACAACCAAAGTAGTAAAGAAAAAACCAAAAAGATTCACTCTATTTCGTTAGCACGTTTACGATATTACAAATAATATAATATCTAAAACAAGAATCTGATGACTCGAGAGTTAATTTTTTGCTTATTTCAAAGTGATAAGAATTTCTGAAGAAGGTTTATGAATGATCTCAATCAATTTAAAATAATGCAAATGTAATATAATTTTTATAGAGATTTGTAAATATGTAGAGTATCCAGTAATAATTTCTCATGGGCAAATAGAGTGGATTATGTTGAATGGAAAAGTCTTGTATCATTTTATAATTTTCACAAATAATTAAGTAATTGTTAATTTATACAGATCCACGAATATTCGAAAGGATTTTTCTATTCAACCTACTCTATTTACTTACGAGAGATACGAGAGATATATAGTTATTATCGGATACTGTATATACAAAATGTTTTCTGTAACTCCCATTTCTTAAATGGGATGGCATATTTTAATTAACATAGTAATGTAGTTCATAAAAAAAAATACTGTCATAATATTTGCTCCTTTGAAGCAAACAACTTCTCTCTTTGATATTTTTTCGTATCAATTAAAAAAAAAAACTTAACAACGACACGTATACACACACAAGTGTTCCAAAATTACCAGATTTGCTTTACTGACAGATTCTGTGAAACATTTTAAAACGAAAAATTTCCATTTGCGAAAAATTTATATGTTTGGATATGGAACTTCGAATAGTAGATGTTTTTGCATACTGATTTATCCGCATTCATTCGTCTGCTTATATGTACACTACATATCTGATAGTTTCTGTAATTCGATTTAATTAATACTCTATAATATTAACATTCTTATATATTAATTTTTATATATAATAATTATGTATAGTAAATTAAATAATCATAAATGAATGACAAAATAAATTAAAAGTAATTTTCTTATTGTTGCTTGCAGAATTATATTAAAAAAACTGAATCACTATAATGGCACTTTCACTGCCGTTACAGTGCCGTGCGATATTATTATCCATATCTAAACACACAAATTTTCCACAAACCCATTTGTCAACTTCAAAACTTTTCGTTTGAAAACTATTAGTCTCAATTTATCTCAATAATTTTATATAAAAATTTTTATTTCATAATATTTTACAGAATCTGTCAATAAAAGGACACTTGATAATTTTAGAATACTATATACATAT